AACTCACAATATTAATGAAATCAAATTACTATGCCATTGACATTGAAACATTGTCAAGCCATTAGCATTGTTATAAACTCTTACTAGCATGCACAGCAATAGTATCTCACCACCACATCTTTAGCACAATAAGAAGCTTGGTCACTTTAAACATATCTCAATAAGGCTATATGACACATTAACACCAATATGACACATGCCAAGCATATTACCCTAGAAAATTGCAATCTTTGCCAATTAATATAAACAAAACACTGAGCCTTAATCTCTACGTTTCCAAATAATTGACATGCAAATAAATTCGCATCACTCATGTGCCAAATGATATACTGACCTCCTCCAATTTCAAGACACAACTTTCACTATTTTAAATTAAATTTGTAGCCAAAATAAATGCATGAACTGCTAATAACCTACACTAAATATTGTAACGAAAGCTGTACTTTCGAAGTCATTGAATAACAATTTCGTATTCCCTAGTAAAGCCTTTTAAAAAATCATTATTACTATAATAACAGCGGTTTAAACCATTATATTGTATTTTCTAAAATATCCAACAAAACACCAAAGTCATATATGATATAACCATGAAAACAGGAAATCAAAACTCAAAATTTTCGATAGTTAAAACAAATTAGAATGTCATGGTGAGAGGGGAAACAATCATATAATAGCTCCTTTAAGCAATGAATTAGAACCCTCCATGATTCACCCTTAAGAATTAGCAATCGAGATCCAAGCTTCTCAAGGTTCAAATCAAGGTCCACAAGGCTTTCAATTAGTCAATCAATCCAGTTGAGACCTTTAGAGACCACATTAGAGAAGCCAAACTAGATGCCATAGAAGCGCTGGTGCACTAGTCACTAATAGTGATACGTCCATTATCTCTACACAAAATTCTTCCACTAGCATCGGTGTTCATGTGCTAGGACTTTCACCAACTATGTGGTGCCTCTGGAGTCTCAAGTAAGTCTCGATTTTGGGATAGATTTGATATGTTGGTGTTTTTGTTCTTGTTCTTGTTTTTTTTTTTTTTTTGGTTTTCACCATTGCCCGTTTTAGCAAATCCTTTGTGCTCACATGCATGCACCCTAACACCTAATTTGTTCATGAACATCATCGGAACTCATTGCTTCACACCAGCCCCCATGTCCATGTTCTGTTCCTAGTTTCATAAATAACAAAACATATATGTTTAGAAATAATATTGATTTATTATAAACTCAATCAACCTTTATATTAACATTGAAGAGATGCCTTCCTGAAATTAAATCAAAACTCGGATCCATTTCCTTTCAAGAACAATGAATATTATCAAAAATGAAAAAGATTTACTTCCAGTAACAATTCAACAACCTCCGCTTATATGTTATCCTCACCCATAATGTTACTATCTCTTGAAAAACAAAACAACACTAAGGTGAGAAACATTTTGGACCTACGTACAGTGTTGATTTCTAAAAGACATATGAAAATTAAATAAAGCAAAATCATAAGTCAAACTTATCTCATTTCCATTGTTGAATGGAGTACTGGTGAAGAAATATCAATAGGATGAAATATAGCTCTTAAGATTGTTGCAACTTGTGAGTAAACTTAAAGTCTAAATTGTGCTAAGGACATCATCCTTAAGAGATATTTCATTATATTATATTGATTGCACAATATCTTTTTAAGATTAAACAGACTCATTCTACAAAATTAATAAGGGCATAGAACAACATAGACTAACATATATATTTAGAACTTAAGAGCTAGGTACCGGAAACATTGCACTTTCCAAGCTATATATAGGCACCGATCGATCAAATGAAGCCTTGAAACACAATTTAATTAAGAGTTTCAAATAAACATCACAGCACATTATTGCTATTTACTCCTTTGGCTTTGCCCGTTTGCCACTTTGCCACTCGAAGACAATTAAAAAATTAGTTTCTAGTGAAAATAATGTATGATGAATGCACATTAAATAAATCCATGGATGAGGAATTTAAAATTAAATATTCAAATCTTAGGACTTCCGGAAGGCATATCTAACAATTTTGCAAAATAAATCCAGTAAAATGAGCCAAATATCTCTTTAACTTTAAGACCATTAACTAATCCATTTTCATTTGTTAATGTATATGTAATAGGAACTCTCCTTACATGGGTAGCATGGGACTTCTCCTTTTGACACAAAAGCACAATAATTGCAACGTGTCGCACGTCCACCACGACGTTGCTGTTTTCTCCGCCCCATTTTTGCTGCTATTATCACTGCCGGTCTTCTTACCCAGCTCCACCATCATCACCCAGTTGGAGTTATCCGTACGCTGGCCAGCACATTTCTGCCACACTCTGATGTTGGAGTTCTCGGTGTCTAGCCTCAAGCACGTTATGGACGGCGACGGCAGCTTCTCTCGCATTTCCTCATCTTGGCGTGCAGGATCGCCTCCAAATCTCTGGCTTGGGATCACCATCCGGAGTCTTCAATATCGGGAAATTGGTCACAAAAAAGAAAAGAAGAGAGGCAGGCGTCAGGAAGACGGGCTCACGTTTCGCTGCTTCTTCCTTCACCTTGGCGTTGTCCGAACGAGCTTGGGTGGCGAGAGGTGAGAAAGACGAAAGGAGAGAGTAGAGAGAGAGATAGAGAGGAAGGGAGAAGATTTTTGGGCCCACATAACATAATTCATGTTTGTTTAAAATCAACCTCAGGTTATTCCTCCTATTCCTTTTAATAACAACTTCGTCAGTATCAAAATAAAAAAAAATATAAAAAATAAAAGTGTATAAAATTTTAAATATATTCCTATATAATAAATTTAAAAAGTGATATTATGTTATTTTTTCTCTCTCATTAGGAATAATTTTAAAAATATTTTTTAAATATTACTTAAAAAGTTGTACCATGACTTATAAATGAGACCAAATAAATTTTTTAAAATGTGCCTTATAAATGAAATCAGAGGAAGTATATTCTAAACATCTCACCCCAATAAAATAATTACTTATTTTAAAATAATTTTTTTTTCATATTTACTTTATTTAGTACGGTGTTTTGCCCTAAAATAAATATAAAGTAATTTATTCTATAAGGGTACTTGTAAAAAAAATAATGATTATACCCTAAAAGAGTAAAAATACCTTATATTTTTAATATTTAATTTTTTAAAAATACTTTATATTTTTTAACAAAAAGAGTATAGTTTAAGTTTAAATCGTTTTTGAACTTATAGTATAGTTTAGATTTTATATTATCATTTAATCAGATTTTGGAATAAAATATTGTAATAAAACATTTATCATATCACTTGAACTTTCTTTGCAAATACTTGCACCCTAAATTTTGGATTTACATTTGGTGATCATCGCATCATTCAAACGAGTGATCCTGGCACTTCATTTCAATTTAAAATCATATCTACTATTGATTTTAAATTAATTTTTAAATATTATATTTTTTAAAATGAAAAAAAATTAAAAATTAATATTAAATTTTAACTTTTCAAATTATGTCTAGATAATTAATTTGTAAAAATTCTCAAAAGAGTTAATATTAAATTAGATTGTCATCTGTCTATATTATCTACAGTACATTTAAATAATTAATTTGTAAAAGTTATAAAAATATATATTAAATTGGTTTATTTAGATTAAATATTTACTGATAAAATTGATCATGAAAAGATTTATTAAAAATTTGACATTTTTTATACATTTTTATTTTGATAATAAAATAAAAATAAAAACTTAAATCTAGACTGTTTAGATTACAAGAGAGGCGATGGAAATCATAATACTCATTATCTAATGAGCACCGAAGACAATCTAAATTTAATATTAAAATTTTCTATAATTTTTATTTTAACAAATTTAATATTTAAAATATTTAAAAATTAATTTAAATTAACGGTGGAGATGATTTTGAGTTGAAATAAAGGGTCAGATTACTCATATAGGTGATGAGCACCGCAGCACGATTAAGTACCGAATGCGAATCCCTAAATTTTAACAATGGTTTTGCCCGGTGTGAAAGCACAGTAGCGTACTCCCTCCTGTCCAAAATGTGGGAAGTCTGGTGCCTAGGTAAACTGATGAGTTATTTTCATGTGAGATTCACTCTTTATGCCACTAAATAATGCAAGCATATATTTAACTAAATTGAGACAGTATATGTTTCTTTTAGAAGTTTAAATGTAATAGACCGGATATTTTAAGCTTATATTTAAGTTTAAATGCAAGCTTAAATGTAATAGACAATGAAAGGAGGAAAACGGAAAATACTAAATATTTAAGCTTATATTTAAAATATTTTATTTTAATCAACTACCATAATGAAATTTTTAAAGGAAGGTATAACTTTGAGTCCATGCATTTTGTTCAAGTTTTATTATAAATCCTTGTCCTTTTGTTTAATATTTTAAGTTTCTATATTTTTATTTTTTAATATTTTAAATCTTTATAACACCGTTCATAAAGAAATTTAGAACATTAAAAAATAAAAAAATAAAAACCTAAAACACTGAAAATAAAAGAACACATGGATCTATAATAAAACTTTAACAAAATATAGGACTTAAAGTTATGTTTTTTCAACTTTTAAATAATCTCTTGCCCTGTAATTGATTCTCATTATTAATATTTTTAAACTTAAAAGTCTTTGCCTTAATTTTGTAATTGATTCTCATTATTAATATTTTTAAACTTAAAAGTCTTTGCCTTAATTTTGAAAAAGAAAATATAGATAGTGCTGGAAATAATTACTAAGAATTAAGAATATCAAATCGAACAAAAACCAAGACTTTTAGTTTTCAGCAGAGTTAACAAGTTATGAATGTCACCAGACCAACCAAATCAATTGCTGAAACATAGCATTTGTACAAGTTATGAATATTTTGAATTTCTAAGGAATTATACCGTTTCATTTGCCGAAATACGACAATGCTCTTAGGGCCCAATAATATCAATGGCCAGAGGAAAGTAATGTATCCTTTTCCTTGTCAAAGGATAAACTTCCATTGAAGCACCAAGAACTTTAGTAGTTTATATTCAGTAATCAAAAGGGCAAATAAATGTCGACTAGTATATCAGTAATCAGCACATATCTAGTTTATCGTGTTCTCCATTTCATTATCAAGGGGTGATCGCAACAGAACAGGCTTCGGTTTGCATTTTTAATACCATGGACTTCACTTTGCTTTTCACATCTATAAACTGCTAATTGTCAAGCAGACAACAAACTGGCCAAGGACTGAAAATAAAACAGACAGCCAACTATAACTCAGTCAGCTCTGCGCAGCTTCACATTCCTTGGAATTTCCTTGTAGCTCCGAACCTTTTCGACGGCTTGACGTAGTGGCCTCCCAACCGATGATCTTCGAACTTCCTGAGGGTCAAACTTAACGGAATTGTTTTCCTTGTTTTGTTGTCCAGAATCCACACATGAGGTTGTTGGACTGCTTCTCTTAACCAAGCTATCATGTAAAAGGACAGCAAATTTTGGATCATCAATCTCAAACAAGTCTTCAGTTGGTTTAGGATCTTCAGGCTTGAACCTGGCAGATTGCCTTCTTATAATTCTGCAGGAGGGGGTGGTCGTTATAAATCCTCTCGTTACTCAAATTACAAATTCAAACAATTCAAATTAAACATAAACAAGCAATCAAGCATACCTCTCATCAACATTCTCCTTTGTGTCAACTTGCTCAACGGTAGGAAACCCTGAAACTGCACGAGTAAACAAATAAAAAAAAGCTTGGTAGTCTCTGAATATTAAAATTTGACAAATGTTAGAAACAAATACGTTCAGTGTCTTCTCTGGTTTCTTCAGTCGGTTCTGATACTTCAGTCCTAAACCTAGCAGATTGCCTTCTCAAACTTTGCCTTCCAATAATTCATGAAAACCACATAAATGGATTATCCCACTAATCACAAATCCAAATTATAGACACTCAAATCAGATGTACATAACCATACCTTCTGTTTTCAATGTTCCCCAAGGGAGGTTGCACAATGGAAGGAGGTCCTGCAGCTGCGTGAAGTAATAAATGAGAAAAAGATTGGTGATGTGAGAATACAACAAGACGATACATTGTCTTATACAATTACATTCAGTGTCTACTCCAGCTTCTTCTCTAACTGTTGTTCCCGATGATGCTAGTCCTTCCCTTTTAACCAAATTTTCTTTTAGATGAGATACACATGATTTGGTGTTATCAGTCTCTAAGGAATCTTCTGTGAGCCCTGGCTCTTCAGGCTTGAACCCCACAGACTGCCTCCTCAAACAGCGCCTATTTGTATATTCATAGGAGAGATATAAGTAGCCTCCTTAAGCATGCCTAGTGTCAAACTTCAAGCATTATTCCAGCATAGCAGGTAATTATGAAATTCGTACCTTTGCTTGTCAACCTTCTCTTTGGCGATAGATTGTTTAATGATAGCAGCTCCAGAAGCTACATCAGATCCACGTGTTTAGGATATATATACATATATTAAGTTTTGCAGTTGTATAGATACAGTGGGTCAAGTACAATTATTACATTGCGATTTAGACACTTTTATCCTTTTCGCATTGGAAAGATTATCCGCTCTTCCATCTGCTTTAAAAGTTTGACCTGATTGCTGACTCTGAGATGTTCAGACCAGAAGGTAGTGAAAAAAGGGCATAAGTGTTGCAGGCAGCAAATAGTAAAGAGCAATCAACATAAATAATAAAGAGATTATTTAAAGCACCTCATTTGCAGTGACTTCATCTTTCAATTTTGAAGTCTGCTCTTTTTCCAAGGAGGGGATGGAAAAAGTAACGGTTAAAACATAGTCAATTATTTTAACTCCCTCATTAGCACATTATAGCTATAACATGAGTTAAACTGACCTTTGATTCTAATTTCACAGCTCTGAGTATACCATTTTTGCATCCTAATTCAAGCTGGAGTTCCCTCAGCTGAATGGCAACAAACATAGTGTCACTCAACACAATTACACAAATAAAAGTCAACATAAAAGCATTAAACTGTTATATGTACTGAGAGCATTTAAAACATTAGCTTACCCTCTGTCTACTAGAGTTAAGTTCCTGCATGTGTTATGTAAAAGACATTAGAAAGGTTATTTATTCAATTTCAAATTCAAACCTGTTCAAATTATATACCATCACAGTAGGAAGCTAGAGTAAAATATTCAGAAATTAGAACATTTAAACAGTACCGCCAACATCTGGCTATTTGCCCGAGCAAGATCCACATTTTGCATACTCAGTTTCTGAAAATCGCTTTGCAATTTCTGTAGCTCTGCTTTGCTTGATTCTATGATAGCGCTACCAACCACAGTTCAGGAAGGCCCAATAAAGAACAGCCAGCTTAGTAGCAATTAATACAGATAAAAATAGATTAAATTAACAGAGGATACTTTCTGCTTGCCAGCAGCTTCATTAGCATGGTATTTTCCTGCAAAGGATATTTAAGATAGTCCATGCTTCAAGTGATAAACTAATTACAGAAAATAGAAGGAAATCTTGAAATGCCACAATTGCAATAAGTATACCTTCAGAAGTTGGCCGGTAGACTCGTCAACTCCTAGGGTAGCAGATTGCTTTTTTGCAGGTTGGTTTGATGGCTTTAGATGCTCCTGCTGCAAATTTGTTATGTCAGTCAGCATTTTCTTCGTTGGACCCCCAAGAAAATCTCCCTTCAGCACTTTTGCTTTCTGTGTTTTGTTGCCTGCAAACCATTTCATGTTATTCCCAGAGCACGCATACAGCACTCCAACGCCCCAAAACAAAACCCATATTGCCCTTTCTACCAAGAAAGAAAAATACCCAGCAGCCGCAAATTGAAACGAGAATTTTGGATCTTCAGCTATTTGGTGGCCCACCTTAATAAAATTATCAGCTTGGCAATCTCAAAAGAAAGCAGATATTGACTTTCCTAAGACAGCACCTAATGCATATTTCAGAACCCACAACGACAAAGGTGATCTAATTGAGCAATCGATAAGCCCGGAAAATCCTAATGGAAGTAAAAAAAGATCTTGTCGAAATCAATCGGGTAACTCTGAAACATCAACTAAGAAACTAAAATAGAGAGCATAAAAAACCTAAACCCACGCGAAAGAAGGTTATACTTTTAGAGAGAAACTGAAATTAAAGAACAGGGGGAAGTTGATAGTGCAAAGCCGCACCTCCTCTGCCACACGTCTCTGAATCAACTAAGACGCTTCCTTCCATAGTGAGAACGAGTACCTAGTAACCCTGACTCATCAGCTCAGTTCCTCTTTCTCTCTCAAATCGAAGGAGGGAAACTGAGGCGAGGGAATGGGAATCGTGGAATTGATTGCGCAGAAGAGACAACGTCTTTCCGAAGCAAAATCCAAACCTCCTTTGAATTTGGTTAGGTTCGCTCCGAACCTATTTACTTCAATATGTCATCTAGGGCTGCACAAAAGACTGAACAGGACTGAACTTTAGCCTAACCCAGAGTCTGGTCCTTTTCATGAAAAGGACTAGGTTAAGTAACCCGTAGTCCGGTCTGATCCTGTAAAAACTCAGAGATTAACAAGACTGGATTTGGTTCATAGGACTAGGAGACTGGTCCTGTTAGTCCAATACTCACTTGGCCTTTTTTTTTCTTTTTTTTCTCTATGATGACCAATAATCTATTTCAACTTAACAAACTCAATTAAGATAATAAAAACACTTATAATCATAATAAATCCATAATAATTTCTAACACCAAGAAAATAATATTTTAGTTACAGTCCAAACTCTAAATGATTTAAATACATAACTTCAATAAAAAATTAGAGGAAAGACCAAAAATAGACCAAAGGAAAAAAAATCAGCAAGAACAGAAGTAATAAAAATCAGCCCAGAGACATGTTCCTTCAAAGTTCGAACATATCAAGATCAGAGTACAAAGTGATAGGCAGGGGCTAGGGCTTTGGCGCACTGAAGAAATTGAGAATGAGAACGAAGTTGAGTGAGTGGCTGAGATGCTAAGTGCTGTTGAGTAACAGTGTTGAGGTTTTTTTTTATCAGAGTGCAAAGTGCAAGGCAGGATTAAGACTTTTTTTTCTAAGACTTAGTAATTAATAATTTATAAATTAATTTTAATTATATTAAAATAATTATATAGGACCAAACCGGACCACTTAGTCTAGATGCTTGGTCTCTAGTCTGGTCTTACCAAAAAAATCAGTCCTGTCTTTTTGGTCTTTTTAGTCCCATAGGACTAGCATTTTACAGGATTGGACAGGACCGAATTTTCATAGGTCGGACCGGACCAAACAAGACTACGAGACTTTTGCACAGCCCTAATGTCATCTGTGGATAAATGTTTTCACCTCTTAATTTTCAAAAAATCAATTATTTAATTAATTTTTATATGTTTTAACTCAAATATAGTTAAAGTTATAAAATTAAAGATTTCAACAATTTATTATTTATAATTGTAATTAATGGCTAGTCTCTAATTGTCATTTTTTCTTTTCCTAATGGCTACTAAAATTAAAATAATTTGGGTAGATTGTATTTATTTGAATCGGATTTAAAATATTCTATTTTTTAAAAAAAGTTTATATAGTCAAGTTCAGCCTTAACACCCACAAACTTGAATTTATTCAGACTGGTCCAAATACCTAAAACTTTTAAAAAGTATTTTTTTATTTTTTAAACTAATTTTAGTTTTCAACTAATTCTGTTAAGCATAAAATATTATTTTAATTTTAAAATAATAAAATAAAAAATAATAACTTATCAACTTTATACTTAAGTAACTCTGTTACTATTTTATTATATTATATATAATTTATTAATAAATATTTTTTTTATTTGTAAATTAATGTCTTAGTTATTTAAATATTACTCTTATTATGGTCATATATAAATATTTTATATATTTTAATTAAATTATATTATTTTAATTATTATTAAGTTGATTTTAATTCAATCACAATTAGATCACTTATTTAAATTCATTACCCCAATTAATTCAAAGTTTTTAATAACTTTTGTCTAAAATGTACTTTTTGTTTTTAAAAATATGAGAAAAATAGCTATCACTATATTATATAAGACTAAATCATTTAATTATGAGTAAAATATTATTTTTGAGAATTATTTTTTTAATTTTTTATATTGTTTAACCCCTACATATAAGGGGTATTTAGTCTAATTTATTTTTAATTTTTAACCATGTCTAACATAGATGATAACCAAATATTTATTCATGAATATTGTTTTATTTATTATATTTATCTAGTAGTAGAATCAAGAATTTTTATACGTCCAAATTTTATTTTTAAAATTATTTTAAATTTAATTTTAACTCTAAAATTAATTATCTTATTTTATAAAATATAAAATACATCTTTTTAGATACTTAAATGATGCATAGGACTTGAAACTTTTTTAAAAAAAATAAATAGGTCTTAAAATATAAAAATAAATATTAAAATATATTTTAAATATTATTTTAAAATATTTATATTAATTAAAAATAATAAAAATATGAAAATATAAATATTATTTATTTATTTTAAAATAACTGTAGTAATGCACTGAGATATATGATATTTTAATATAAAATGACATAGAACTTAAAAAATTAATTAATATTTATTATATTTTATATATTTTTAAAAAATATTATTTTTGCATTCGAGTATTCAGGTCAAGTTTGAACCAGATTGAGCTTGGCTTAAATTTTTCTTTGGCCTCATCAAACTAGCCCGAATAGGCCTGAACATTAAAAAAATATTATTTTTGTGAGCTCGGTCCTAAATTTTTTGGCGACTTCAGGCTAACTTGTTAAGTTTGATTCAAATTACCAGATCAACTAAGTGTAAGGCACTTGTGTTATCTGTTTCAGTTTTAAAATGATTGTCTATTTATATTATGATCATCTCATTTTCTAAGGCTTCTATTCTTGAGGATTATTCCTTCGATTTTTTTTATAAATCATTTCTATCAATTTCATCAATATTAATGCAAAAAGAGTATAAGGAATAAAAGTGTGAAGAATTACAAATATACTCCTATAACAAATTTAAAAAATAATATTATATTAATTTTTTTTTCATAAAAAATAATTTAAAAATACTTTATAAATATTATTTAAAAAATTATCTCGTGGCTTGTAAATAATATTAAATGAACCTTTTAAAATTTAATTTATAAATGACGAGAGGGAGGACAGCAGAAGAAATCTTTCCAGGGAGGGCGCCTCCATGTTTTCACACCTGGAAACAGAAAGTCACAATCTTCGTCCTTAATTAGCATCTAATTCTCATTCTTTTTCTCTCCCCTCATTAAAAGGCTTTTCACTCATCAAACAACCGGCAAACTTCAATCAAAGAATCTTCATCTGTTTAATTTAACCGTAAAACTAGAAGGCCAAAAAGTTAATTTTCATGCAGCAAAAAAGCGTCCTTGTTCCCACTTTTCGCGCCTATAGCCATAAGCCCTGCTTTTCCGTCTCACTAATCACTATTTATCTGCAAAAGAGATGTACGTGAATTGAATACGTATATTCCGTACAATACTCTGTCGCATTCATATATACAACTAAAACACGCGCGTCCAATGTTCTTTTTTGTTTTTTTTTGTTTTTGAAATGTTTGGGTTACGATGCATTTTAATTAATTCGTTAATTTATGTAGTATATTTTGACGCTGTTCGTTAGTTCGCTCTCGGCCAACGGCAAGTACGGTCAGCAAGCTAGGTAAGGAATGTGGCTCCAAGACAACCGCCCCGCTGATAATCTCTTGCTTCTTCTTCAAATAAACGAAAAAACCCCCCTCCCTCAATCATCTACTCTAACTACACACCACTGTTCTCATTATTAAAATCTTGGTTTACATAAACCCCATTAGAGTTTCCCAGAATTCTTCCAGAGAATATACAGAAACCAGACATGATGATTCCAGTTGGCTGCTGCGTTATTCTCTCGGTATGGCTCCTCAGCTTCCCTCTCTCTCCCCCTCCCATCAAAGCTGCCTTCAGCCCTGAACATGTGGTTATGGATGTTCAAAGGTGAGAAGGAGGGCCACAAATTCCAACACTTTCTTCTGCTGCCGAGTTTAGTTTGTCTCCTCTAACACTTTGCATGCAAAAAACAACAATATCCCGTCTCTGCATTATTCAAAAATTTCAATGGCTTTCACTTTTATGCCCAAAACTTGCTTTTCCTGTTTCCAATATGTTTTCTTTTGGCGGCTCAGAACATATTAACAATGTTTTGATTTAATATCTGTATTCTTTCATGTTTTCTCATTTGCATATTGCTTCCCGCAGATAAAGGTCCACATCATGAAACATTTCCAGATTCTCCCACCCCATCATTTTGTTCTTCACTTGATTCTATTTCATGCCAGGGCTCTTCCCGTTTAAGAAATGGAAAGCTTTTCTTTTGTCACATGAATCTTACTTCCATGTCACTCTTAAAACCCCATCCTTTCTTTCTTAACAATATATATGTCCATTAGTATTCTGTTGGATGGGAACAATTATGATAAAAAAAGAACAGAGTAAAGAGAACTCATAAAATATTGATCAGTTTCAAATAGAATAGCAGAAACCAAAAATCGCTTGACGAGTCTCTCGCTTATTACTTTGGTCTGATTTTTTGTGCGCTCGACACAATCACACCCATGCATAGCCTTTTTTTCATATAAAAATCTCTGATTCTGAAGCGTTTTATGTGAAAAAAGAAAACAAAATCCAAAATCCGATAAGAACAGGCTTCAAAAACTTTACCTTCACGCACACTATTAAATCCATGCATTGGTTTGCCTACTTTTTACTCACCAGGGACGTTTCATTATTCAGTGTTTTGCATGAAAACAACATAACCCAAACATAATTACCTTCTCCGTCTTCACACTGATTTTCCCGACATCCAAACAAAAGCGGAGCATCTCTGCTTTCGCGCCATCTGAACCTTCCTTTCTTGTTTCCCTTGCTTGCAGGAGAATCAACGCATCTCTCTCCAGAAGACAACTCCTCTCGGTTGGAAAATCCGATCAAGCTCCCGGCTGCCTCACCGGCAACCCGATCGACGACTGCTGGCGATGCGACCCCAACTGGGCAGCTGACCGCCAGAAGCTGGCGGACTGTGGCATTGGGTTCGGCTCCGACGCTGCTGGTGGCAAGGGCGGCCAGTTCTACATCGTCACCGACCCATCCGACGACGACCCGGTGAACCCAGCTCCGGGAACTCTTCGGCACGCCGTAATCCAAGACATGCCCCTCTGGATCGTGTTCGCTGGCAACATGATGATCGCCCTTAAGCAGGAGCTCATGTTCAACAGCTTCAAGACCATGGACGGGCGTGGCGCCAGCGTGCACATCATCGGCAACGGCTGCATCACCCTGCAATACGTCACCAACATCATCATCCACAACGTGCATATCCACCACTGCAGGCCGTCGAGCAAAGGTATGATACGGGCGAGTCCAACAAAGGCAGGGTTGAGAGGGGGATCAGACGGCGACGGGGTGTCGATCTATGGGTCGGAGAAGATCTGGATAGACCACTGCACGCTGGCGTATTGCAGGGACGGCCTAATAGACGCGATAATGGGGTCGACGGGGATAACGATATCGAACAACCAATTCTCACACCACGACAAGGTGATGCTGTTGGGGCACGACGATAGGTATACAGGGGACAGGAGGATGCAGGTGACAGTAGCGTTCAATCACTTCGGGGAGAAGCTGGTGCAGCGGATGCCACGATGCAGGCACGGGTACGTACACGTGGTGAACAACGATTATACGCAGTGGGAAATGTACGCAATCGGCGGCAGTGCGAGGCCCACCATAAACAGCCAGGGGAACCGCTACAGTGCTCCGGCCAATCCTAATGCTAAAGAGGTGACCAAGAGGGTGGACGCGGACGAGAGAGAGTGGGCGAGTTGGAGTTGGAAAACGGAGGGAGACCTCATGATGAACGGAGCATACTTCGTGGCATCCGGCGATTGGGTTAGCACCCAGTACGCGCAGGACTCGTCTCTCCCACCCCAATCCGCCCTTCATATCGACCTCCTCACCCTCAACGCCGGCGTCTTCAACGATCCCAGGGAAAGTGGTGATGTGTATCCGCTGTTCCTCCAGAACGGAGTGATTTTGAATAATGCTGCTGCGCCACCCTCCTCCCCCCTCCTGTCTCTTGTATTCTTATTAGTTTATGTATTCGATTAATGTTTCGTTTCTTTTTTCTTTTTTCAAATAGAAACTGAAAATCCATTAATACAAGCTGAAAACAAAACAAAACACCTAAACTCTTTCATCATCTTCCACCCGTGTTAGCTAGGAAATGGATGATAATCAAAGAATGTTCCGTTTCACATATAGAGCACAAGGGGAAAAAAACAGAGGGAAGAAAGTTAACAAAATTATGTTAACAGCTGACAAAGTTAAGGGTGCTGCATGACGCCCGCCAAAAGTTAATGGCAAGCTGTAGCCACAATCTTGTTTCATTTCTATACCATTAATTTAATATTATATCAATGTATCCATCTGCGTAAATAAGAATGATATATATAATGCTAAAACTCATCACTTTTCCTTTATTTCAGTCATTTTTACCGAATAAGTTCCGCTTGACTGAAATCATGGAGCATTACTACAAAAGTATAAATTTATTCAATTACTATACTTAATACAGACATTAAATACTTGTACTGTCTAAACTATTAAAATATAAATTAACGATTCAGATAAATTTATTCATTTATTAATTTTAAGTAAAGTATAAATTTATAACTATTGATTTGAATTTTAATAGTTCAGATGGTAAAAATTTAATGTTTGTATTAAATACAGTTATCGAATCTAAATTCATACATATGACACCACAAATGTGACAGTTATTTGAAGAATTGTTAAATATATGAAGATAGGATTTTAAAATTTGGCTTATTTGACAGTTCACATAACAACCGTCAAACCTAATAAACATTAAAGTTACAAGTTTGATGGTTGGTAAAAGAATTGTCAAACTTGTTGAAAAATAGTTTGATTTAAAATTAAAATTTGATATATTTGATGGTTACTTCACTGAATCGTCAAACTTTGTGAAATATATTTGACTATTAAAATAGTCAACTATCAAATACGTTGATTTAAAACCCACCCATTCTTCTCCTTCAAACTCGCCGTCGTTCTGTTCATCATCTCTGTTTTGTCTACTTCAGTGAGATTCAAGCGTACCCATGTCGATTTCACCTTTCCTAGCTTGATTTTATCCCATCCCCTTTGTTTTAGGTGTACCCCATTTGCTCTCGAGTGCTGTCTTTGTCCTCCTCCATCATTTTTTATTTCACCTCTTCCATCGGCGTCCATACTGTTCGTCGATGTTAGGTAAGCATGCTTCTTTCACCTTTCTCTTCCTTTCTTACTCTCCATTGCTCAAATTTATGAATACATAATAATTTTGAAAATTTGAAGAGAATTATGGGATTAATTTGAATTGTTGTTATGGGTTACTTTAAAATGTCTATTGGACCAAGAATGTATTACTAGTTTGGTAGTTTTATTGCTGATTTATTTTTAGGCAAATGTAAAGCAATTTTTAAATTGTATTTTTTATTAATATATGTTTTATTTTATTGTATTGTGAATTTTGCTTTTGTCGCTATGGTTGAATAGAGTTGAATTGGGTTCGATTCAATTATATAGGATTGAAATTTAGTATAAAGTGATGGCAAAATGCCTCAAAAAAGTCACATTTTTAACTCTTATGCTACCAGCTTTTTGTTTAAAAGTAATTAAATTTGACATAGTTGTAAATTGTTGTGATTGATTTGAGTTAAATAATTATGTTTATTAAATTGAATAGGGATGGAATTAAATATGAATAGAGAGCATATGCCTAGAATGTCTCATTTTTAAATTGTTATATTACTAAATTTTCATTTAATACTTGCAGTATATACTTAGTTTCTCAAAAAATTAAGTATAGTTATAAGTATTTATTTTAATTTAGCTTAAGAGGGGATTATGTTGCATGTAGTGGCTCATAACTCATAGGTGGTTTTAAGTAATTAATATTCCTTGTGTTTGTCTCAAATACTCTTATAATATGATTGAGCCATTGATTACATTTCCCAAATTAATTTTTGATAGATCGGGATTATGGATAAGATATGAATGTTTGTGAATTGAGTGTCAAAGAAATATTTGGATGGGGTTAAAGAATTTATTAGGTTTGCACTTGAGCATGAAGATGACTATAACATTATTGTATGCCCTTGTGTAAGATGTGGTCTTTTGAAGCAAATTGGCAAGAGTGAGTTGAAAGATCATTTAGTGTCATAGACTTGATTAATTTTACAACTATTAGCATAAGCATGGTGAGATAAGGAATGTGACCAAAAGTAGTCATAATAGTTTTGTGTCACATGATTTTGATACAAATATAAAAGAGATAGATCATGTTGAAGAGATGGCTAATGTGATTGATGAAGAACTCAAGGACTATCTTGAAATACTTGAAAGGTTGAAATACTATTAAAAAAATTAAAATTAGTGATGGACATTTAGTGATGGATCTCCAATCCATTACTAATTATAGGTATTAGTAACGAAAATTGTGTGATGAACTAAAATCTGTCACTAATTATATAAATTAATGATGGATTAGTGATAAAAATATGATGTCGTCACATTTTGGTCAAATTTTATAAATTTATTAATCAATTTAAATCCATCACTAATTACCATCACTAAATCTTTATATTAATAAAAAATTAGTGATAGATATTTTTAATTAAAAGATCACTACAATATGCTTAAATATTATATAAAAATAAAAAATTTATAATATACATGGAGATAATTACATGAATAAAATATTAATAATTATCAAATTAAATAAGTGCATAAATAATTTTTTCTCTTATTATAAGTAAAATATATATTATAAAATGACATTGAAAAAAATAAAAAAATATTTTATTTTTTAAATTCAAATATAAAAATAAAATATTTATCTTATAAAAATAATTTAATTATAACATAGATAATATAAAATGATATAAATAAATATTTATTTTCATAAAATATATATTGACATTAAATAATACATTTATTAACTAATAATATATAATAATTTATATATTTATATGTCTTATTGTGTGTATGAATTAATATGTATTATCAACATATTTAAACAATAATATATTAAAAATATATTAGGTTAAATATATGTGTTTAATTAAATAATATATATTAAATTTTTCTTATTAATAATGAAAAATCATTACAGCTCAACTAACAAAAGGTGCAAATGAAAACATGGATGTCTTAGATTCGAGATGAGGTAATATTACAAGCAAAGAGAATGAAAATAAATTGTTGACATGGCGATGACGTGGCATGGAGAATCAAGTGGCAATTATGTGGCAAGTGGTGGGGGTGATGTGTACTTGAGACATGATATGGGGAGGTGACATGACAGTGTTTGGACTCACAAAATTTTTTTATTATAAAATAACTTAGCAACAAATAGTTATTAATTAGTGACAGATATTTCACATCATTAAATTAGTGATGAATTCGTGTTTGTCACAAAATTAATGATGCCATATTTGTGATAGAAAGTAGTTAGGAACTATCTACCGTTAAAGGTAAAATTAGTGATAAATTTTGCTAATTAATAACGGATTCATCCGTCACTTATTTCATTTTTTTTAGTAGTAAAAAGCGATGTAATTAAGGACACCTTTGTACAATAATTGCATTGAATTCTCAAAATTGACCAACTTAAAAGCAAGAGGCAGTTTGATTGATACAATTTTCATAAAATTTCCTTTACTTATTCAATGAAATGCTACCAAAGGATAATAATCTTCCAACACGAACATGCAATGCAAAACAGATCTTGCTATCTATGGGCATGAGCTATGAGAAGTTACATGCTTATCCTAATGATTGCATTTTGTTTAGAAATTAATATGCATCATTAAGTCATTGTCCTAGATGTAATGCATCATGCTATAAGGATAATGAAAAGAGTCCGGAGAAGGCATTTGGTGCTTTTGCCATATAATGCAAGTGGGTTGATTACAAAAGTGGCTTAAAGTTTGATGACACATCAAGCTGCATACAGATGAATCTTAATAAAGAAGGATCTAAAATTGAGCTTTTCATTTTGACATCACAAGCTTGACAAGTATTCTATATTCTTGATCTTGTTAAATCAGGTTGGTCTATTATTTTATTGACAAATTAAGAAATTGGAGAGGTTAATGATGCTAGATAAATTATTGTTGAGGATGATCCATTTGTAAGAGTATTACTTGAAAGTAATTTAATTGAAGATAATGCCAATAATATGAGATATGATTAAAATAAAGGTATTTGAATTTCAAAAAGAGAAAAAAGAGTTTGAGAAAAGATTAAGGGGGTTACTGTCAAAGTGAAAAAAACAAGAAAAGGACAAAAAATTAACTTAAGTATGTGCATTTTTCAATTTAATTAATTAATTTATAGTTGCGATTTGTGTGTTTTTTTAATTTATTTAATTAATTTATAGTTGTGACTTGTGTGTTATTTTATTTACTTAATTGATTTGTAGTAGTGACTTGTGTGCTTTTTATTTACTTAATTAATTTGTAGTTGTAACTTACATGTTTTTTATTATCTACTTAATTAACTTGTGTGTTCTTATATGTAACAAGTGAATGGCTTAAAAAACAAATGTAAAAGTGTGTCCGATGCCCTTATTATTCCTGATGCCACTATTGTGCTTAATGAGCCTAGCTTTACTACTGATTTCTTAGTTGACCCCCTTTCTCTTGCTAGTAATGAGCATATTAGATCCAAAGTTTCTATGAGTCAAGATTCTCAACAAGCTGAGGCTAGGGCAATTAAGAAATGATTGGTACTTATAGAGGAGGTGACTAGAAAGAGGTTGGCTGGAAAGAAATATGAGCTTCCATGCAATGTTAAAGGGTAACCGATTAAAACCAATAGAAATAAGTTCACAAGCTATATTGGTGCCATGGCTAAAGCAAATATATGATTATCAATTAGTACTTGGCTCAAAGCAAATGAAGCTTCAAAGAATTTTATTTGGAGACAAGTAAAGGTAGTGTACACACACACACACACACACACGTGTGAATTATATTACAATTTATATCAATGATAAGTTGATTGTATTGTTGTGCAAGTAGCATTTGAGATTGATGGCATTTGAAGACATTATGTCATGAACATAGCTGCGAGCCCATTGTGATATTTCCAGTATTTCATAGCAACGAAATGCATACAGAAGGCTGAAGGGAACATTAGTGTTGTGGTCCTAGATTTAATAATTCCATTGGTTAAACAACAACATTGTGATGATTTTGTTGCTAGACGACTCTTAAAAGAATTTCAATTAAGGATCACTTTTATTTAATAAAATTATTTAATTTTTTTATTTAATAAGTTTATTAATTGGTGTTTTTTTAGTTATGCCTATATATAGCTGGAGCAAGAAGGCACGGGAGAAAGTACTATATCCCATCATAGACTTTTTATATTGGATCGAATTGACAAATTTGGAAATATAGTTCACAAATCAGTTTGAGAGCTTGCCAAAAAAGTTATAAGTGTTTAAGTGATTAAATTATCAAATAAGTTTATTCATATGCATGTGCTTCTTTATATAACATTATTAATGCTGAGGTTGCCGTTTCAAAAGAAGTCTCTAAAGGTGAGGTTGCAAAAGAAGTCTCTAAAGGTGAAGATATATTGGAAAGGACATTGAGCAATAAAGATCACCCTAATTGTGTTAGAAGTATTGGCCTTAATGTCACTAGAAAACAAATACTAGGGTCACCACCAAAGAAAAAGGCCATGGGTGTGGCTATTACAGAAGAGGTTAATGAGCTGAAACAAGAGGTAAGAAGACAAGCAAAATTGATTGAGAAATTGAAAGAATTTTTCAATTTCCAAGGAGCTAGGAACCTATCTTTCGAGATTTCTCCCACCAACAAGCGAGACAATTATACAGTGGCCTGGCATTCTCATCCTCTCAAAAAGCTCCTTGAGGTAGTATTTTTTTTATAGTAACTTTAGTTCACAATTATTTTTTTTTAACTTAATGCTTTTGTAAGTTTAGGGCGAGTCTGACTATTTTTTCTTAGCAAATAGCCCAAACCGACATAAGATTGTAGTAGGGAAATTGTATAATGTCGCAGAAGAGACTACCATACATAGTGTGCCAATGTTTGTGGATCATGTGTGAGGGTTAATCAACAAACCTCTTGATGCCAACTATCAATTGCCTATGCCTACGATTGAGGTAGTGATTGTAGGAGAAGTGGTAGGCACCTTTGTTGTATGGCTCAGGAATCTCATATTGTTGGTAAACGTAGAAGAAAAGACAAAAAAGGTATCATAATTAACATTATCTCATATAAATTATATATATAATTTCTTTTTATCCATAACTGACACTACTAGTTAATAGTTTAAAATTTGAGCACTTATATATGACAATTGGTAACAACCATCAAATATAATCATCCCTTTTATATGATGGGAACTTACTTAACGATTGTTGATTGTTAAATATGAGTTAAACTAATTATCAATTACAACTAATTTTGTAGCTATGAAAGTACGAACTAGTAAGATTTTGTTTACCTTTTCATGTTATTATTTGGTAACTTCAATTAGCTTCTGAAGATTTGAATTCGATGATTGTACTTAATACAGTTATTGAATGCCTGTATTATTTAAACTATTAAAATTCAGATAAATGATTATGAATTTGTACTCCACTTAAGATTAATAAATACGTGAATTTATTTTAATCGTTGATCTAGATTTTAATAATTCAGATAAATTGTCATCGAATTTAAATTCTTCTGCACCAATCTGTAGAAAATAAGAAAAGAGATTCCAAAGAGGGTGCACTTGAGGCATGCTCTTCTTTGCTTAAATAATCCCTCTGGATGAGGAATGATATTGAAGAGAGCGGAAGAATTCAAACAAGGCAGGTGGAGAGCGGAAGCCGTGAACGGAAACAATCTCCCAGTGTCTTACTCCAAATAACGTGTGGTTGACATGGCAGCCCCACGTGGATCGTTCTCACTGATGTTCTTCCCAAGTCCTTCCTTCACAATCCAATCCCACGGCAGATTCCTTCGAATCTTCTTCTCTCGAATCCCTTCTTCCTTCCTCATCTCTCCTCTTCACATCCGACACCCGACTCAGCCTCGCTTACCAGAATGAGAGCTTTGAATTCCCATTTTGTCATCATCGATCTTCACTCTTCCTGGCGCTTCTCGTCATTTCGTCGAACTCGTCATTCCCTCAGAGCGATCCGCTCATCCAATCTATCTTCTGACTCGATTCCCTCCCCGCTAATTCGAAGACCTTCTGAACGATTCTCTTCCGGAAATGCCTCCTCCTCAACTTCTTCGAACCTGCCTTCCACTTCACGCCCTCAGGCTGTTTCCGAATTAGAGCTCTTCCTCGATTTATTGCCTTTGAAAATGAGGAAGGAATTGTATCGCCACGATCAACTTGGTGGGCTCATCGAGGTCGTCATGGATTTGGGTAGGAAGCCTATTGCTAGGTTCCCGTTTGGTGATTGGGAAATCTCGCAACAGCCCATCAGGCACGATGATTTACGCCATGCGATTTCCAAGGTGTGTTAACGTATCTGTCTTTATGATTGGCCATTTTCTTAGAAATTGCGAGTCTAATATCCAGACGGATTAGCTCATTAACACGACGTGATTTGATTCCTCTGGTGAATGTCCATGCGGGGTTAGTGCAACCTTCGGATAGATAAGGAGGGTAGCGTGGACGGAGTCGGACGCTATTGTTTGATGGAGCCTTTTTGAAATTTTTTTTTTTGGTTGTTTCAACTTAAAATTATAGTTCAATTGTTTGACTTGAAATAACTTCCCCTGGTGTCGTTATTGGGCTACTGATTAATATCTTCCCATGTTACTACTCTAGCTGGAGATCCTTTGTATCATTCTATCAAATCTTTATGGAAGTGAATTGTATATGGAAGTTGAGATTTACTGCTTTTTCAGAGAATTTTTGTTATCGTGTTAGGTTGGCGAGTTTTCTGATGACAACCGATCGGGTATTGATAGCTCTTTACATCGTGTAAGTGCAATTCGTAATCGTAAAATGCAAATTATTGGCCTCACGTGCCGGGTGGGTCGAGCTGTAACTGGTAGTGCAGAAATCATACGTGATTTAGTGGAGGATGGAGGATCCATCTTGGTAATAGGACCTCCTGGAGTGGGCAAAACAACCTTAATCAGGTAATACCTGTCAATGGATAAATTTGTAAGGGTCTCCTTTAGTTTGTGCTATATACTATGTAGAGCTTATAAGTCCATGGCACATTGGTTCAATACTTCAAAGTAGTCTAGTGAATGTCAAAATAAGTTAAAAGACTAAAGAAAGATAAATGTATTTAATTGTTTATAGGCATCTTTGGCCATTAAATTATTAGTCGCGTTTTGATTGGCTGGTAGGCATGCCTAATGTGGCTTCGTTTGTTTAGAGAGATTGCGAGGATGCTGGCAGATGAGTTTATAAAGCGTGTTGTCATTGTAGATACCTCCAATGAGATTGGAGGTGATGGCGATATCCCTCACGCAGGCATTGGTCGTGCAAGGAGAATGCAAGTTCCCAATGTGAATATGCAGCATAATGTTAGTACTAATCTCAATCTCTTGTATTTTGAGACTTCTTATATTTTTCTGTCTTTTGCAGTGTTACTCATGCTGTTCCTTTATGCAGATTATGATTGAAGCAGTTGAAAACCATATGCCTGAAACCATCATAATAGATGAAATTGGGACTGAGCTTGAAGCATTAGCAGCCAGTACCATTGCTCAAAGAGGAGTTCAATTGGTTGGAACAGCACATGGGATGACCATAGAAAGCATAATAAAAAATCCTTCTCTACAGATTCTTGTTGGTGGTATAGAGGTCTAAAGCTGTTCTAGGATTTACCTCAGTTTTGTTATTTATATTGGTTATTATATACTATTGATTTGCTTCTTCAGTTACTCCATTTTCAAAGAGAGAATCAATCTTGAATTTTGAAAGAATATTTTAAAGGGATATGTAAGCTTGCCACGCTAGTAATATTTAATGGACATTCTCTTCAATAGAGCGTGACCCTGGGGGATGAGGAAGCAAGGAAAAGAAAAGTACAAAAGACAATTCTTGAAAGGAAAGGACCTCCTACATTTACATGTGCGGTAGAGATGATATCAAAAACTGAATGTCGTGTTCATCATAGATTAGATGCAACTGTGGATGCCATTTTGGCAGGTACTCTCAGCTCCCTTAACAGAATATCAATTAAACTTAACTGATATGTTACTTTTATATGTTTGTAAAATTAAGTTTAAACAGAAAAGTTATGTGTTACAGGAAAATCTCCATTGTATGAAGTTCGTCAGTGGGATGACCTTGCCAATGATTCTTCAGTGAAGTATACTCCAATGCTTGAAAAAGACAATGGAGACAGACCTTATTCAACGGATGAAAATAGCATAAATGCTGATGAAGACTCCAGTGAGCAAGAGAAAGATCATCCTTCTACTTGGTCTTGGTCCAAGAAATGGAGCTCTAGTAGATCTGGGATCAAGAGGAGTGCTCCTCTGCAAGTGTATACTTACAAGGTAAATTGTTTTAAAGTTTGTACGTCCTTGATAAAGTAATACGGAATTGGACATTTTATCAAGGACTTTAATACTGCCTTAATTGACAAGTGACTTAATATTTCTTTTTTGGACAATTCTTATTCTTTTATGAGATTAGATCCTTGAAGCTGATCTACTTCAAGTAGCTAAGGTGATGGGACTTGAGGATGCAATAGATGCAACTGGTGATATTGGAGCTGCTGATGCAATTCTAGCGTCCAGTTCTGAGTTACGACAGAATCCATGGATCCGTGGAGTCGCAAAATTCCACCAGTTGCCCGTATTTGTTATTAAGGTGACCTCTCACTTCCTCTTTATTTCCCAACTAGCATACGATCCTGTATTTTGGTACTTGATTCCTTTTTAATTTCAAACTTTTTCAGTCAAATACCATGGCACAAATGGTCAAGGCAGTGCGTATGCTCCTTGGGCTAGAATCATTTGGCCCTACGTCAAAGAAGCAGCTTAGTGACTCCTTAAATATTGAAATTCAGGATGATGAACCAAAACGAAAACCATCTTTGGAAGAGATTGATGCTTTGGAGGTACAGGCCTGTTTCTTAGTACATGATTGCTCTTCTGTCTATTCCATAATCTGCATGCAATTGTGGGTCAGTGTTGTCACTGTTGTGCAATCTAGCATCATGAAAAGTGACTGTTTATTGTTATTATTTTTTATAATCGGAAAGTGACTGTTTAATTAATGCATCGTCACAATTTCAGTGTTTATTGGAAAATGGTTTTAATTGAAACATGGTTATTCTTCATTATGGGCATGGGCCGAAGCTTGAGAGCCAGTCTTTATGAGTTTGAATAGTAAAAAGCTAGCATAGAACCTGCTTTTACGTGTTCTGCGCTCACGGGAGGAACCAGCCTTGATGTTGAGGAGGGGCCAATTTTTGTAAAAAAATATACTGCTTCCATTGAAAAATATAAGATATATTTAACCCAATCATACCTCCAAATAAGTTAATTAATTATTTTTAAATTGATACCTCTTTCCATATTTGTTCTTATTTAATATGGTGTCTCTCTTAAAGGTAAATAGTTGAGTGGTTTATTTAATTAAATGTATTTTTAGAGAAAAAACTCATTAATTATACATTAAAAATTAGAAATGTCCAATGTTTTTTAACATCTAACTTAAAAAAGTGTCTTATATTTTTAAATGATAGGAGTATGTATATGTATAAATTGTTAATGAAGGATAAAAGAGAAAATTTATGATAAAAAGTTTAATAACATAACTTGTAAATAGAATAAAAAACTAGTTTCTCTCTATCTTCTAAGTAGAATAGGTAGGAATATTACATAAGTATATGTATGTATTGCACTTAGGCATATTAGGCTTCTTTTATCCTCTCTAAAACTTTTTTATGGGGCTAAATATTTGGAGACCCATATGAACATATGGGAAGAGGTATATAGAGTTGGCCCCCCTCACCATATAGGTAATTCCACCCCTGTCTGCGCTTCTGTTGGTTAAACAGGAATGTATGGCTGCTAAATCTGTTTGCTTATTGGAGAGAAAAAGGAAAATTACATATCAGTAATAAATAAGATAATTAATTACCCACAGGTCTTGGCCACTTGTAAATGCAGAAGTTTGACATGTAACTATTGAAGTATGACATGTAAATGAGATTGAAGAAATAATTGATTTTCCTTAATTTACCCAAAGATTTAATTGTTGATAGAGCACAATGACATTTTATAATTCATATAGTCTATTCCACCTAGTGAGATTAGACTTATTGTTGTGACTTGTTTGTAATTCTTAAGAGAGAGAGAGAGAGAGAGAGAGAGAGAGAACAAAAAAAGAAAAACTAGTCATTGTCGTGAATCATGCATGCTGCTAGGTAGGATTTTATTTGTCCTCAATTCATGTAGTGAAACTATTATCTTCTGAAGTTAACATCTTAGCTATTATGTGTTGCAATTAGTTAGATGTAATATGTTCATAAAATTTTGCCTTCGAAATAATCTCAAATAAGAGGCACTTTAGTTGCTATCTGATAAAAGAAAAAACGCATTAGAAGAGAGCATAAATGGGGGATAAAATATGATATAGTACCGCTCATAAAAGGTAATAATCCAAATAAGTGCAAACTTGCGCTTGTAAGAGCCCCTCAAACATGCGGTTGAGGAGTCGTGGATTTACCAAAATAATTTAAGCTTGATTGTTAGCATATCCATGTCGGTCGCATCTGCGTGAAGATAAAATTTTAACATATATGCTTATAGAAAGAGAGAGAGACGCAAACACCAAAGCAAAACAATATCGAGTCATTATATGAACTTCTATGGCTCTACCGAGTCAATTATATGGTGTGTTTTGTGTCCTCGGCTGTTCGTGTCTTCTCAAAACAATAACCTCATGCCAAGGTTAAAAGCTGCACCTAACCCTCGGCCCACAACAAAAATATATATATATATATATGTATATAAAGCAGTTGTTTGCCTTTCAATAAATTATTGCTCGGACTATATTATATGCAAGCTTTCTAGTTTGATTAATGATGTTAGCTTTATTTTGCTGACAGGAGGTCCGCCTTGCGATAGAATACATCGTGATTCCTGGTGGAGAGCCGGTGGAGCTTCTTCCCCGACGTTCTGAAATAATTGCCCGGCAGCTTGAACTGGTAAAGAGCTATCAATTGTCTGCTGAAAAGTCAGGTAGTGAACAAAACCCCAGGTTGCAGATTCTGCCCTTGAAGCTGTATGGGAATGCAAAGAAACCCTCTAAACCTGGTTCAGCTTCCGGGAAGATTACCAGTACTACTAGGTCGGTTTCTAGAGGTGGCAATGGCACCAGTGTCACCAGACTTCCTCTTTTACCTGAATAATAATTCAATTATTGTTTCTATCCTAGCACGCGGCTGTCGGCCATATGTTGTACATGTAACATTACTTGTACAGTCATGTAATACAATTCTTCACAGCATGTTTGTCATGTAACATCAATAAAATAGCTTTATTAATGAATTTCATCTTGCTGGTTAAAAAAACAAAAGACTCTGAAGCTTGATTGTACACCGAGAATACAAATTCTCTTTATTTCCATCTGTTGTAAAAAACAATTAAAATATGTATCTGATTTTTTATTAAACCGCAAAAGGTTTAGAAAATCTAACATGCAATGAATGAGCCAGTAAACTAATTAGCTAAAAAATGCATGTAATCTCATCTACTGCTTTAATTTTAAGGACAAAAATCTACTGCTTTAATGGTCATTATTGAATTAAATGTCCACGTCCATTGAAATGTATCAAGACTCACTTTTTTATTATTAAAAAAATCTTATTCTTTTTATCTGAAATTAGAAATACTCCATAGCAAGTTCTTGCAACAAAAAATAAGTTAAAATTTGTTTTATGTTCACTATAATATTTTAAATTTCATGTAACAAACTGGGTCATAACATGCCACAGCCTCAATTACGATGGAGGAAGGTGAATAAAAGTCCTCAATTGCTATTCACGTTGTCCTTGTTCTGTTTTTGTCGGGGTGCAGCTTCTCTCGTGATTACTTGCTCTTCCTCCTCGTTAGATTTCTTTCTGCTTAAGGATAGCATAAGCTGTCAAAATAACTTAAGTTATTTAATTGAATACTTTTTAAGTTTTATATATTATGATCTAATTAGATACTTTTTAAACTTTATATGGAATGATCATTTTTTAATATTTTAAATGTGAGACTTTTTTTTACGCTTTAATATTTTCTCTCTTATTTTTTTCTCTATTTTTTTTCTTTTTTTTACTTTTTTAATCTCAGAGACCTTAGGTCTATTTAATTTCTTCTCCTTTTTCTTCTTCTTCTTCTTCTCTCTTTTCTTTTTTTTTTTTTAAACTTTTTGTTGTATTTTTTTCATCTTTTATTTTTTTGTCCCCCAATCGAATGGCTCATAATATCATGTTAGATTTCTTATATTAAATATGTTTAAAGATAATATATTCTACCAAAATAGCTTAAGCCATTTGATTAAATATTTCCTAAGCTTTATATATCATGATCCATTTTTTAATCTTTTAGATGTGGGATTTTTTTTTTTACACTCTAATGCTCCTACTTCCTCCAGTTGTTTTAGACATTATTCATGCCTTAATTTTGTTTTTGGGATCTTTTCATTTAATATATTTATCATAAATTCATAATACTACATTTTACATTCACTAGGACAAACCAGGAAAATCAACTTGGGAGAATCCTTTTTTTTTTTTGGTCATGGTAGAATATGGAAGAGCCCACTATGAAGAATTGGAACTTGACTTCAAGGGTGAGGGAAGAAGGCGATTTTGGAAGTTTCTTCCCCACCTTTTCTTGTCAATGGATTTTGGAGGTTTCTTAATTGGTTACCAGAGTACCAAGTTTCTTGAGTATGTTGAGGAGTTTCTTGGTACTTGAGGAGAAGGGGATGCTAACCTTTGTGAGAAAGAAGCTTTGGATTAGAAAGAGGGAAAGGCGTGATATGTCCTTTTTTTTTTTTGTTAACTTTTCTTTTTGGCCAACTTTGTTTTGGGTTAACAGTGGGTTTGAGTTACCAAGTAAACTGTCGTTGTAAAAGATAGTGATATGTTACCCAAAAAAAAAAAAAAAAAATTGTGATATGTTTTCATAAGCTTCTTATAATTCTTCACAAGAGGGCCCCTGTTCCTGCTTTGCTTTACGGATTGAGCAAAGAAACCCCAACTTATTAAACTAATCCCTCCTACATTCATTACCTAGCTATTGCGACCTATGCAAAATGTTTGACTGAGTTGACCCCTCCCTCATCATCACACTAACAGAGGTTGTCTGGCAAGAACAAGAACTTGATTGAAAAGAACTTACCTGAGCCCTGACCCAACAAACTACGGGGAACGATTTAAAACATTTCAAATCCGAGGACCAAATTGAAAACGGAATTCTCTTTCTAAAAAGATGAATATAGAGTCTATTTTTTTTTCTTTCAATTATTTGATCATGGGAGATTGATGGTTAGGTTCCAAAATAATAAATTAATACTAATTAAGTCTCTGACAAATTTTTTTTACAAAATAAATTATAAATATCAATTTAAATAGTTATATATAAAAATTTTTATTATTATCTAAAAGTTACATGTGATATTTGAATACTTATCTATAATTAAAACTTTTAAATTTATAATAATTTGGATTGATATTTTTAACTTACTTTTTAAAAAAAATTGTTAAAAACTTAACTGATATTAATTTATTGTTTTGAGACTTAACTGTCGTTCTCTCTTTAATCATTACCGTTGCTGAGCTAATCAGCATAAAAATATAAAATCTACATGGAGGCATAATATTTGTGACTCATGGGAACCTTCTTTCGAGCTTCCTGTAATATTTTATCGTCAAATTTCAATTTTTATTCACACGCTTCGTTAGGCTTTGGATCACTTCCTTGTACTTTAGTCCTTTGCTGTACATTTCACCAAGAAATAATACAATCTTCTAAATATTTTTAAATTAGGCAAAAGTATATATTTAATTTTTTAACTATATATAAGATTTTATTTTTATATAATACCTTTTCAATCTTTTAACCTTATTATCGTTAGTTTCAAATGCTAATTTTTGTGCCAACTATTGTTATTTTAAAAAAAAATTAAACTTGGTATGTGTATATTTGAAAATGTTTTTGTTAAATTTAAAAGTTTAATGCTGACATTATTTGTTAATAAAATTAACACTGTTAAGATTAGAGGATTGAAAACACATTTTATAAAATTAAGATATTGGAAAGAACCTTGTATAAAGTTAAAGGATTAAATATGCACTTTTATTTTTAAATTAAGCTAAATTATATATATTACTTCCTTAAAGTTTAAATCATGTATACATAGTCTCTTTAATATTTGAAACTTTACAATTGATAATTTATATATTTTATACACTTTTGTCTCTTTTATCTTGACTTTTGAGCACTTGTTTTGATATAATTTGAAATAAATGGGTAATGTTTCTAGTTAAAGGGTAAAGAAATATTTTTAGAGATTTTTTAAAATTTATTGCATATTTTTTTAAATTTTATTGAATATTATTTTTAATTCCCTAAAGTTTATTTTATATTGATTTTATTATTTTATGTATAGGTAGCTACATGGTAGAGAGAAAAAGCAAGAGGATAAACTGAGAAAATCTCATTATCTTATTTCCCTTTCTTTTTATTTTATTTTATTTTTTATTTATTTTTAATATTTTTCTTAAGTGATTCTTGATTTCATTAGACTTCCTTTCATCTTCTCACCAATTCCACTTTCTACATATTCCACTCTTTTAATTTTATCACCCTTTAACTCATTTTTCAGATCTGTAATTAATTTTCAAAAAAAAAAATCACAATTCATTTCAATTCATGTGACCGCTTCTTCTCTCCATTTTGAATTCGAGAACACGTGCTTTCCACTCCGATTCCATTCTGTATGAAGCATTCCAATCGGGAATTGAAGAGATGCCGCACTCCTAGTAGATACGGAGACTTCTCGGCTAATGGAAAGAATCGCACTCTCATCTTCACATCATAATCTCCCATCTCGGTCTCGTCATCTTCTCGTTCTCTCTCCGTCTCATCATCTCTGTATCTATAGCTGTCGTTTCCCACTGCCGCCAATTCTCCCTATGCACGATTTCCTCCACCAAACTCCACTCCAACCCCTAGAGCATCCCGAACTGATATTTGGTTCAAGAACTTCTCCATACTTGAAAAATCATAGCAAAGACTCCCTTCACTTTTCTTTCTGATGTCATAGTACTGCAACATAGGTACATAAACGCTGATAAAAATTTAGACTATGCATATGATCCTTGTGCAAAGTTCCTTAGACGTTTGCCACAAGATTCCCTGATACAATAATATGTAAAAGAACTATTCAAGAGTTATTCCTTGTACATATGTATTTTTTATAGAAAAAAAAGTAGAACTCTAAAACACTGCACCTCAGTTTTCCCTTTTAGTATAATGGCATCTTCTAACTGTTGTCATCTAATTTTTGTTCAGCAAAAAGAGTATCGCTTCTTGACATGCAAAGTCAAGGTTAAAACTTTAGATTGCATGGTGTAACATCCATTAATATAAGTTGGCTTAGCAATATTTAAATTTTAAACTTAAGTCATACCAGGACTTAAGCTAACTCATATAACCTACAGGACTAAAACCAACCTATAGCCCTCGAAGACTCTTGATATTAACATGTCAACCACACAAAAGCAAAAAAGTTCTTTTCAATTTGATTAGGGAGGAGACTTTTGTGCCCTTCATGATGATTTACAACATTTAGGCATCCACCATCACATTATACTTGTCCTCATACTCACTTAGAATGGCATGGTTGAAAGATGGCATTATACAATTGTTAAAACCAGACTCACCCTTTCATATGCCTTTATCCTAAAGGCATACTAGTCGTATGCCTTTATCACAGCCACTTTTTTATTAAACCGCACACCATCCTCTACCCTTCATAATAAAAGTCTATTTGAAATCCTTTTCAAAAAACCTCAAGTTACTTTTTTAAAGATTTTTGGCTCTACTTGTTGGCCCAACTTATATCCTTATGCTCCTAACAAACTTGCTCCTACATCATTACTATGTGTTTTTATTGGATATACTCCTCATCATTTAGGCTATTTATGCTTACGTATACCCATTGGCCACAGATATACCTTAAGGGATGTTAAATTTGATGAAGCCCAATTTCTTTTTTCCAATTTCTCTATTTCTCTCCAACCAACATCCAACACTCACACCATCTTACCCAACCTCTCTTCTAGGCCTTCACCTCCTAGCCTAATACCTTTTTTCAATTCCAACCCTACTCCTCCCTCTCCTATCATCCTTTCCACTCGTCTCTTTTTCATCCTCTGACACGCCACATTTGGCTAACTCCTCCTTACCTCCACCATCTCCAACCCTACCCTCGTACACATGTACCTTATGAACACCATATCTAAAGCCAATATTTTCAAGCCAACTCCTCA